ACGGCTACTTATCTGAGTATGCCTGAATGCATGGCCGGATGTAGATACAGACAGGTCGGCAGCAAGCAGATGCTAACAGGGAGGTAGCTTGAGGCTAGATAGGTAAGTATGTCTGGATGCAGGGAGCATCCATGCATGCATGCACGCATGCACGCATGTATGCGTGCGTGTCCATTCACAGCCGCAGCTGCAACACGCACATTCCTGGTCTTGCACATGCGCAACGAAAAGCAGTTCATGCGACGCACCTCAACCGTAATGTTGCCTCCCGCGGCCAGCATGGCTTGTGCAACCTTGATTTGGCAATCGGGATGCATGAACCTGGTCATGCACGCATACGGCCAGTGCAGTTCCACTACCGCGTCGGTCAGATCCTTTTCCATTGGCACGATGGTCGGCATGATGACAAAGGACATGCCTTCAATATGGATAGGATAGTCTCGCCAAGTTCGCATATTTTTCCCACCCGCCCAGCTGAACAATGTCGCACCGCAAACTCGTCTGAAGTTCGCATATTAATGAAAAGGGCTTAAACGAGGCGGCAGTGTGGGCATTCCGCAAGTCTGGTACTTGTCCCTGAAAGACTAGCTTCTGGTTTCAACAGGGGGTGTGTGTGATAAGACTTTTTGCAACCAGAAGAAAAGCAGGCCAAAATCTGCCCATGATTTTGCACGCCCCTCTGATTCAAGACTCTGCAACGACTGGTCCACAAGTACTGGAGGAAAACAGTACCAGGCACGACTGAGCAAGCAAAGCCACATCCTCACACAAACTCCCCAACCTAGCCCCTCACACCAAACGCTAAACGGCGCTTTAACCCTAAACTCTCAATGCCCCGAACCGAAGCTTCCACCGTCCCCATTGGTGTGCTCCTGGGACTGCCACGGCCGACCGATTCTGGAGAAGCGACTGGCAACGTTGGGAGATGTATGAGGGGCCTTAAGACTGGGGATACTGTTTGCAAGCTTGCAATCGCATTCCGATTCCGACCCGTGTGCTGCAGCAACCATGTCGCGGACTAGAGTTCAGGGTGTTTGGGCTAACGGTTTCAGCACTCCCACAAAAGACGGTGGGGCTTGCAGCACTCACAACTGGGACAAGACAGTGTGGTTTAGAGTTTAGGGACCAAGTTGCTGCCTGGGTGCCCGGCACCCAACAACTTTCATATTTAGACTGCCGCAGGTCGATCAATGTGATCTTCGGCAAAAAACGACACCCCCAGACACTCCCGCCAGGCGGAGGACCCAGGGACCCCAGAGCCTTCAAACTCTGAAGCATTCTGAAACCGTAACGGCCCCATGTGCATGACCCCTAAGGCCAGCAGCCGTCGCCTTCTCAAACTTCTTGCCCTCCTTGATCATCTGCCTCGGCTTTCTGCACAAGCCAAGAGCAGGAGAGCGTGACGCACCCCTCTTGTCTGTACCTTTGGGGATCTCAGTCAGGTGAACAGGCACGCGCTGCCCCAAGCTCCGGCGCGGGAGAGCCATTAATTTTCATCCGCAATCTCAAGCTGTCTCCGGCATCCCGAGCCAGCAGCACCATAACCAATCGTTCACTTCTCAGAATTGCATGATTCCGACGGAATGGCAGGCTTATCAGGAGCCTCGAAAACACCGTTAAATGACCGTTTCTTGACCAGCTCTCGAGACCTTTGCTGCGAATTCAGTGGACGCCATGCACAAGTCGATTTCGGAACCCATCCAAGCGACCCCCCGAACTCGAAATCCCAGATACCTAGGTCCTACGGTAACCCCTCTCAGACATGCGACACTGACTAGAACTTTCAAATCCAAGTCCGTCAAACAGGTCCAATCGCGACATGGGAGTTCAAAACAGACGGGCTGAAATACGGCACCCCTCGTGCTTGACGAACGCTTAGGCAAAACTCCAAAGCCTAAACATGCCTAAACCCATTCCAACTAAGCAGGCTGGGCTTCGATGCATCTTTGCCCGGTGGTCGCGGTCTGCCTGCGAGTCGGGCTCAAACCTCGAGACAACAGATGCGAAACAGTTTCAGGGGTTACAATCCAGGCAAGGCGATCTCGAGCCGTTTGTGTGAAATCCATGTGACTGGAAATTGTCCTTGTGCCCCTCGCATGCGTTCCCCGCTTTAAACCTGAAACCCGTCGCTTGGAGGATGGTTCACTTCCTTAACGCTGCAAGTCAGCAACACTGCAATGAAACGACTGTGCCCACTGTAGTACATTGTGATGTGAAATGATGCGTCCAATCCGGTAGCCCAATCCGTAGCAATCTGATTCATCTGTCTCACTATAAGCTAAGATTTCTTTGCATCTTATCTTCTTTCACCCAACCACGGTCCTTTGGCTGTATATTATATATGGGCATTCAAATTAATTAGAACAAGGTTTTGGGGGCCAAGTTTGTATTGGTAATGATTTTGGCCCCTGTAATATTAACAAGTTCAACTGCATCGCACGTCACAGTTTTTGCTTTCTTCTCCTTGATTGCAATGTTGCCTTGCGAGTTTGGCAGACCCGAATGACTGCTCGTTGTGCTCGGGCACTGCCCTCTGCGAGTTCTTGCAACCTTCTGATACGAGAGTCTATACCCCAGTTCACCTCAACATCTCCAGCATTGTACTCTGGATGATGCGCCGCTCCATGATTGCCTCCTCAACCCGCATGTGCATGACAAGAACTCAATACGGCAGGGACTGGGTGACCCGTGGAACCAGGAGAGCCCAGACCTAAGGACCCACGTCCCGCAGCTGGGGCACGGGCACTTCGTCCTCGCAACCTGGTCGCACATCGGTCGAAGGACCCTGGGATGGCAAATGGAAACTCGTCAGGCAGGGCACCTCTGTATAGCTCAGGTAGGTGCCGGATGAGGTAAATGCGCTGTAAAAATACATAAGTTGGGATGCTGCCGGATCCTGTTGAGTCCTGGGATATCAGTGCAGCATCTGGTTAAAATGCCGTTCGGGTTTTCGTCGTCAAAGCTCTTCTGCCACTCATAGGGCTTCTTGGCCCTTCTGCACGTAACTCCCAGCCCCGCGCGCTCTACAAGTACCTAGGACCTAGTTTGACATGTGAACCAGGATAGGCACGAACGAGGAACTTCCGGTTCTGGTGGCAACACCCTGGGTCATACTCTGCATACTCGGACCACTGCTCCACAGCACCCGGAGCATTGCGCCGAGCACGAGACGCTACACCAGCCCTCTGCAACAGGAGGCTCGGCCCCGAATTTTTGCAGGCCCGATCTGCGACTTCCGAAACAGGAACCTCGAACTAACAACCACTGGAGCTCGACTCAGTGCGAAGCCATTTGAACGAACAATTCTGCAAGGACTTTTTGAAACCAAAGCCACTCCGACAGAAGCCTGTCTTTCTCAGAAAAGCCATGCAGCAATCGTAGAAACTACTCTTTAAGGAGGCCTGGAGTCCTGAGCTTTGGACCAAGCTTTACCTTGAACTTGCCCAAGCTCCAAAAACACCTCAACCTATCCCAACACAAGCCCAAGCAGGAGTCGATATCAGGGCCCACGCGAGCGCCCCTCGCTTGTGTGGGGTATTCACACCAAACCTCCGCTCTCAGGTCACGACACGGACGGACGGCTTGAACGGCTAAAACGATGCCCGCATTGCAAGGTCAGCAAAAAAACAGTAGAAAGACTCAAGAAGAGTCTGCCTTTGAGGCGTACTGAAACACTTGAGGCACTTGCCAGTCACTTGCCTGTGAAGCAAAACAGTCCGTGATTCCGTCAACTTCAACTTCGGAGTCGGGGTGTAGGATGTAATGTTCAGTTTGCTCAGGGGCTACCCATGCTCTGAAAAAGGCATTGCAGGGCTTTACAGGGTTTGGGGGTTCAAGTGAACTAATTCAATTGGCCAACACAGGTTTTCGTGTCAACACAGGCCGCGTATTCAGACTCGTGTATCCGCCGTCTTCGAAGCTGAATGTTCGGTCGTAGGCTGAGCGCGCCGCATGCCGGCCTGGGCAAAGGGCGTAGCTAAAACAATGGTGTTCCCAAGGGCTTCGGGTTCTGCTGTGGTGGGTACTGTTTCAGGGCCTTCCTCTCTCTAGTGTACCTTGTCATCTTAGCAGATTGTAAGTGGACTACTCACTCCACTGCATGCAACGTGAGCTGAGCACATCCAGAAAGAGACTGCATGCATGCTCACAGTCATGTCCCCAAACAGTGGCAGAGCTAGGGCCGCTAGGGTTAAGTACGTCCCTCAATGTTTCATCATGATCACAGTGGCGTGCCTACGCCGAATGAGCAGCAGCTGCAATCCAGAAGGCCAGGCATCTACACAGCAAGTGGGAAACCGAGCTGAACCCAGATGCGTGTGGTAGCCACAAGGGGGGGCACAAACTGTCTCCTATAAGGTTGGGGTTCAGCTCGTGGCGCCAAGGACGCCCCTGTGGTTCATGAGGCTATGTGCTGCACGCTCAAGAGGTTGGAGTGGCTTGTCACTTAACCTAAAATACTTAAAACCTGCTTTGACACTTGTTGCTCTCGAGGCTCTGCGAATGAATGACGTCATTTCAGTTAGTTAGTGCTGTGTGTTGCAAGGCTCGTAGATGCACTGGAGACAGCTGCAGGCAGAGGAGTCCATACTTGCTGGGCCATGGTGACGCCGAATCCGCGCAAGCTTCTTGACATTGAATCCAATATATGGACCCAACATCTGAAATCCACCACCTAAGGCAAACTCAAACACAAACAGCCTGAACCTGAAGATGACTGAAAAGCCCCTGAATGCCGAGGACGTCTTGGCTCTCTCGGCTCTTTGCCGTCTTGTTCCTACTGCCGCTGCTGCTTTTGAGCGCGAGCGAAGTGACAGAGAGGAGGGTCGCTCGACATTCGGTCCGAAGACCCAAGACCCGGAAGTCCTGCTCTTCTGGGTGCCCTGATATAGAACAACCCTCAACTGGTCGGAGAGAAGCGAAGACTTTGCGAAGTCTGAGGCTGAGGCAGGGACTGTCAAACTCTCGAGCTGCCGGAACTGTAACTAGGGGTTTGGGCCGTTTCAGTTGGTCAGTCTTCTACATCTCTCCGCTGAGTCCACATTCATGGAATCCAAGATCTTCCGGAAGCTGTTCTCTTTGCACCAGATAGCCGCCGGGTCCAGTGGCAAGATCATCCTGCTCCGCATGTCGCTCGTGAACCTGGGTCTGCTACGAAGCCAATGGGGTTTGGGCGCAGTCCAGACGAGGTGTCGTCGGGATGAAGTGAACACTGACACGCCACCAAACAAAAAGATCGCCTTTAGTTTTTAAAGTTTACAACTTCTCAGCGGGTTTCAGACCCTGGCCCTAAACTCCAGGAGCTGCTGCTCTGCCCTTCAGCTGACACTGCCTTGCTCGATTTTGGGCGGCGAGGATATCGTACAGTACGCCCTTGAACTGACCGAAGGCTCTCCAGGGCACTGCGAGGGATCTGGCCCCTCAAGTCCAAGCGGCTTCATGAAGAGGCCAGGGTCATCGCGCAGTTGAACCATGAAAGCGGGGTCCACGCTTTCGAACAGCTTCACCCGCGTGTCGGTCATATTCGCCTAACGGTAACGGACACAACTCTTGTGGCTCCGGGGTCGCAAAGCTCTTTTCTGGCTTGGTGGTTTTGCTGCTGCAGCTTTGTGGGAAGCCTGCAGCTCAGTTTCGAGTGTACAGGAGTGTCTTCGGTCTAGGTCTTCAGTGATCGGAATCCAGATAAGCAAGTCGCCATCCAGGTGAAGCCAAGGTGTCCACAAGGATTTCGGATCTGCACACGTGGGCCTCGGCCGAGGATTCCAGGATGCTGATTCAAGGCTTCGGCATGGAAGGCGGTTAGCCAAGTAGAGACATGCTATCAAACCTTGGCCAGGAGTCTCATAGAGGCATTAGATGGATTTCACCGGGCCTCTAGCTTTGAAACGCTGAGCCCTTAGCTAAAAAGTTTGCTCCCACAGATGCCCACCCAACACCCTCGCTTTAGGTCTCAGGGGCTGTGCCACCAAGTCCACAAGGTCAAGTCCTCGAAGATGGTCCTGAGGCAGGCGCTTCCGTTTTTGAAAATGCGAAACGAAACCCTCAGGAACAGTATCTGTAGCTGTTGCTAATATATACTGAGGTTTGGTCGGGGATGGGAAAGTTCAGAAGCCTCTGGCGGTGGAGGCCTGTTGGGACATGAAACAAAGAACAGCTGGTGATTTCGAAGAACGACCGACAGTGGATCTAGCACTTCGACTTCCACCCAGTCTTCGGTTTAGCCTGCAGGGCTCAGGATTGCAGTAGTCGGACAAAGCCGGAATTTTTGGAGAAAAGGTAACTGGTATGCCTCAGAATCGGAAGAGCCGAAGTTAGCGCAGCACTGAAGGGTGGCGAGCCTGAACATGCAGGCATCTGTGGACAGGTAAGCCCGGATCCCCAGTCTTGGCATGATCTCAAGCTGCTGCGGGCTGAACAACCTTGGCTCCACGGCACAACAGCTCTGGGGATTCGGTATTCTGGGTTAAACGCTTACGCAGTCCAGGGGTTGGTATTTGGTATGTCAATGCTTCCAAGCTTGCTGAAGCGTTTCGTGGAGGCGGGTCTCAACACGTCGGCTCTGCACACCTTCTGAAACTGTTCAGCCCGCCTTTCTATAAGCCGAATCCCAAGGACCTGCTCACTCAAGAACCCGCTTCTCTTTTGATGCCAGAAAGGCCCGGAGAGGCTGAAATCCTTGCGGTTCACCTCGGGATTCCGGCGAGATTTGGCTGCTGAAAGCCTGGGGCCTCACTAAGCTTCAGGGCTTGGCATCGTCCTGCATTTGCTTTCGCCTTAATGCTACAGTGCCGTCAAAAAGTATCCTCAAGGCCGGGCACAGAGTTCCTAAAGCACCGGAGGTCAAAATCGGCAAGGCTCAAACGATTGCAAACTCCCTCCGAGATCGAAAATCAGCGGGCGCTGTCGTGATGTTATCGGCCCATCATGCAACACGAAAGGGGTACGGCCCAAACAACTAGCACTAAAACCTCGCTCCGAGATCGAAAATGAATGGCGCCTTGGCCCTCACTGAGGCTACCGTAGCAGCATGTATCGATGTAGTGGGACTGACTTCGGCTGAGGTCTCATGTGAGGAAAGCGTAAATTGCAAACGTTGACTACCGACCACGGTTTTGATTTTGGTCTCAGTCTCAAGCTTCACACATCTTCGCAGACGTCAGCCCCATCGCGGATGCGTTGCTGCCGTGTCGCCCCGTCCATGAACTGCCACACACACTGCTGCAGCCGATGGATGAAAAGGTCGCCAGAAGGAGCTGCCAGGAACCAGTTCTGAGGGTGATCGATCCAACTCACGCGAGTGTCCTTGGGCGCAGGGGGACTCTCACCTCTCCCACTGCATCCGAGCCTGGGACTTTCAGATGTCCTTCGTTAAGCGGCCTTTCCGAAGCAAGTCTCGGGGACGCTACACTGCTGGTGCAGCCTGGAGTCGTTATCCTTCAGCGACTGATCCGTCCAAGGATATGGCAGCGCGAAGAAGGTGCGCACGTTCGGGTTGTCACCCAGCAGCTCTTGCAACGGATTTGTCATGAAGGTGGTCGCATCAACCCAGATGCCGCCATACTTCTTGAGAACCGCTAGACCTTATCGGCACGAAGCAGATCTGCAGTCCTTAAGCCCGCGCTGTCAAGAAAGCTCCCTTCCTCACAAGGTTCCTCGAAGACAAGGCCACCCTCTGAAGCGTAGGCCACACGACAGCTCTGACGCTCAGAAATTGCCAGCGAAGCACGAATCGCATCGGACCGGTGCTGGATACTCAGAAACCGGAAGGTCCTCGGCAGCTCGTGCTCGGTGAGATACCTAAGCTGCCGCGCCGATACTCCGAGCATCCCCCAGGTCAACGCAGGCTTTGAAGAAAGGCACATTACAGCCTCCTAACGCCTCAAACATCTGAGCATGAAGGTCGCAAACATTGCAAGCTCGAGTTGCTCGCTCACCGAATCGCTGTTGAGGAGCCTGGGATTCAGAGATGCACTGGGGACTGGATAGAGACAAGGTTTAAGGCCTAAGTTTAGGGTTGAAGGTGGCTTCGGCTCTACGGAGTATCGGAGCCTTGGGTCTTCGACTCCCTGAGCCCGAAGGCCCTGACTAGAAAAACAGTCCTTCGCAGGCGTCTCAATGCTAAATTTATTTTAAGAGAAGAGAGGTCCTCTTTTGTCGGGCCAGGGCCAGGGCTTCTACATTCTTCGGTCAGGGAGCCGAATCTGGTGGTGGCGGTTCAGCGCCCTCCACGATGCAAGGCAGGCCTCAGCGATGTGGCCACTCGGCTTAGGGTTCCCAGAGCTCTGCTCTGCACGGCATGGAGGCGCGTCCCTCCGTGCTGGATCGAAGGCCGTTTCGGGGGCTGTCTACTGAAGCTTGATGACCTTTAGGCTTAAGCTCTCGGACACGCCAGACGAAGTCTCTCGGTACAGGGTTTGGGCTTAGGGTCTCGGGCTCAGTGCCCCGCGCTAAAACTTGTCTTACATTTCAAAACCTTCTTCATGCCATCTGCTCCGATTTTTGTCATCCGGCGCCCTGGCCTCCACAAACTCGGTGAGCGCTAAGGGGGCGTCGGGCAAGGCTTGCCAGAAGCTCCTCACGTGCACAGTTCATCACGCCTTTTTTTCGGGCTTTTCGGCGGCTTGCTAAGGCGAAGGCTTACCTAGGGTTCGGGGCTTGTTTTTGACAGGTTCCGGCACTACAGCCTGTTTTGCATCCGGGGCTTGGGAAGTCGGCCGGGGAAAGCGACAAACAGAGCAGCGTCCTACAGCCTAAGCCCCAAAGCACTGTAACGGATCTCCTGCGCCAGACCTTAGGGGCCTTAGGAGCATTGAGCTCGAGGTTCACGAGACTTCAGTTCCGATTTTGGTGACATCACGATGCATCTCAGGACTGGCGGTGGCCTTGCCTGAAGAATTTTGTAATCACGTCCCTGTTAACTCTCCCTGCGTACCTGCCCGGTAAGATGTGCAAGGGCCCAATTCCTGGAATATGTACTATTCAAGCCCCTCATGACGGCGAGCTCCAGATGATCTGCGGGATCGGCAGCTGCTGGCCCTCATAGGCACCCCTTAGCTCGACGAGCCATACTTCCGCTTGTGTAGAAGGCTTTGGCTTTCACGGGTGCCCGCATGGAAGCCTGTTGAAGACGGCCTCTTCGTAAGACTTGAGGCTGTGCAAACTGAGGCTCTCTGCTCGGAGCACTCAGCCAGCCCTCCCCTTGCAGTTCTCCTTCAAAAAGATACGTCCTGCTGGATCTGTCACTTCAGGCCTTACTTGTAGGAGGGTTTGGTGGGGTTGTGTCCCTGCAGAAGTCGCTCACAAGAAACGACAAGCCCTGAGGAAGTGGCTGCGTTTTCCGGAGCACTGGATGACGCCAAAAGCACCTGAGCATCACTCGCAGATGGGACGGATGTACTGTTAAACCCCAGAAAGATTAAATCCTTCCCCGTGAGCCCTGGCTGGGGGCGCCTGGTGTCGCTGCGGCCTCCTCGGGCCGCGCTCGGCCGGAAGACGCCGTCGGCTATCACGAAGCAACTGGCGCCCTCGGCCTGAAGAGTGAAGAGTGTGAAGAATTTATGGGCTTCTGTTGTGAATTTGGGGAGGCTCACGCCTCGCCCGCTGCCACAGCCAACAAAACAGCGAAAAAGGCGACTCCCATCAGCCCCTGCAGTGACCAGGCACCTGGTAGCCCGTGCAGGACGGCAGCATCTGGCAGAGTTTGGTGCACTCCAAGCTGGAGCCGTCCGCTTGGGGCGGCGAGATGTACTGCATGGAGCCACCCCAGAAAGGCTCACCTTTCCTTTGAGGGTCACGAGTATAGGCTTATAGCGGTTACGGTCAAGGCTTTCTGGATTGGGTTCAGTGCTTACGGGAGTGCTTGGTAGGTTTGGGGTGGCATGTGAGGTGGGGTCAGCAGATGACAGGACTGTTCTTTGGAAAAGGCTCTGGTTGATGCAGGCCCCTTGGCCCAGGAACTGGAACTCATCTGGCACCTTCCCGGGCGGCAGGATCACCGAGAAGTTCGGCAAGGACAACTCGGCGAGAGAACATGATGATGGGTGTAGGCGGTATAGGGAGGGTATGATAAGTGTTGGGGCTGTTGGGGAACTCGCGGCTTTCTCAAGGTGAGGTGTACCGGGATTTCTTATAGCTCGAACCCGGTACTAAGGCCTAAGGGCACGCCAAATTCACCCTCACACCCCTGCTCTTCCTCTACAATCCTGGCCTTACGTCTAAGGGTCACCAGCCTCAATAGCGCTGCGGAAGCTGCCATGGTTCGTCCGAGTGCGGCCGACATGGATGGCTGTTCTTGCTACCGAAGTTGCTCGCTGTCAGTGCCACCGGTAGCGCTTGCAATTTCCCGTTTCTCCAGGCTGCTCTGTTCATTCCCGAACCTCTGATCCTGAATGAGACGACGCTCGCAGAAGCCGCCTTTGTTCCTCACACGCAAAGACCGACAGGACACACCAGAAACTTTGCAAACGATCACAAAAGTCCAAGGCCCCAAAACCTGATCGACAAAAAGCACTCGCGAAGCAATTCTAAACCCTGAGAAGCTTGAAAACCCAAATACTGCAGAACACCCAGGCCCAAGGCCCAAGGAGTAAGACCAAAACACAACCTTAAATCAAGCGCTGAACCCCGGTGGAAAGTGGTCTTGCCAGGAGGCCAGGGGCGCCCGCGCCGCCTGAGTTCTTAGCCGCGGACTTCCCACAGCGTCTGCGGACCGGGGATTGTCCTCGGGCCTGGGACTCACCGTCCTACGGCTGTTGGATGCTTTTACTGAGAGAGCCTGGCGTGTGCCATCTGCGTTCTGGCTTTCAGGGAGTCCTTGGCGTGGTGCCTCTGGATGTTGTTCAGGCTTTTCGGACTGCGCCTGCGGCTTGATTCTCCTGCTTTCGATTCTATTACTCGGCCGCTGGATGCTGTTGGGGTTCATGTTCGGATTTCCTTCGGACTTCTAGTTGTTCCTTTGGCGGGAGGCTTGGAACATGGTGCGTCTTGCTTGAACAGGAGCAATCCTGGACGTCACGCAACAGTGAGCAAAGGGACGCTTGGCTCGTGGCAGCCAAGCACTCCCTGCATACGTGGCTTGTGACAGACAAGCATACCGAACGCAGAAGTTAGCATAGAAATAGCAGGCGGATCCTCTGCAATCTTTGGCAGCGAAACATTGACAAGCTGTGCTCCGTTTTCGGAAAGTTTACCGAACACGCGGCTTGAAGGTTGTGTTCTCGGTAGGTTGGTAGCCCAAAGCCCCTTAACAACTCGAGAAGACGGGCCTCAATGCCATGATTGAGATGCAAATCTGCACATCTCCAAAATTTGAGCAATCACCTGGTTTCTTCACCCTTGGGAAGCTCGACCCAGTGCAACGAAGAAAGAAAAGCGAAAGCCGCGATCTGCCATGCCCACCCTGCGATTCCTATGTGTCTGTCTAGTCTCGTTTCTTGTGATACACCTCCTGCAGCAACCGAAGAGGGTTTTGTATGATTTCAACTCTGATTGCTACCTCCACGGCCGCACCGTGATATCCCTCAAAAAAGTTGCCGCCCTAGGTGCGGGCTGCTGGCCACGATGAGGGCAATCAGCAAGCCAAAGCCAGCAAGCGAGAAAAGAACCACCTCAGGAGCACAGGTGCTCTCGGCTTTGTCCCTATCTGGGACCAGGGTGCTGCTTGGGCTCAATACAGGGTATACGCGAACTTATCGAGCCTCTTAAGCCTTGGAACCCCCACTTCGGGGCTGCAAGTTTGAAGCGGGAGCTCACTTTAATCGGAAGTTCGCTGCAAGCCCGATTACAGCATCATGCCGAAAGCAGCTCGGAGTGATTCTAGTATGTTCTAGCTTCGGAGATACTTTTCGGTACCCTTCTTACGTGCAGCGCGTGCACTGCGAATCAGGGCAGGCAGCACACATCCCGCATCCACTCAAATGCGGACACGGAAACGAATCAACCGAAGCTTCTTGCTGTGACAAAAAGCAACGCCCCCAGCCCGTCCTGGCAAACGTGCCCTAGGCGGGGTCCCGACTCCACCATAGAGAAGGAGGAGGACCTTCGAAGGGCACTACTGTGGGGACTTTGGGGTCGGAGCCTCGCTTCGGGTTCCTGTGGGGCAGGGTCCCATGAATCAAAGAGCACCTGCGCTACCAAGGAGCGGTGCTGGATTGATGTGGGGATTGCAGGGAACCTATCTATCGCACGCTCTTGCACGTCTTTGCGCGCCTTACGCCAACGCAAACGTCTGGAAGTCAATATGGAAACAGTTGGTGCGTAAGTTTGGGGCTTGTGCCGCTCATGCGGCTTTAGAGTAAAATGATATTGCATTCGGGCCAAGACAATCCCCACAAAAAATGCCTTCACCACTGCTCATGACAGCCCACTTCCTGTTGGGGTTGGTTTCGCTTTCTTGCCGACATTGCTGCGATCCAAGAGGGCCCCTCGCCGTCGGCGATAAGCCCCGGCCGGGATGCCAGAAAGAGATTGAAAACGTAACCCCATAGTACTGCAACTGCAAATGACAAAAAACAACTAAAAACTTATTATGACGTAGTATGATATTTCAACTCGGTCCTGGGGTCGAGTGCCTTCTACGCAGGGCGCTACCCGTAGCGGGCCGGGGAACTTCGCCCCTGCGTAAGTCCCGAACCCCTCGAATTCCTTGAACCCTGAAGTTCTACAAATACCTTATCAAGGCCCTATAGTAAAGTTCCAGAACCCCCCCGAAAAAATCATGCAAACAGCCCGAAACAAGACCTCAAAACATCGGGACTTCGCCTCCTCATCTCTGTGAAGCGTCTTCAGAGCCAGGGGCCGCCAGGAGAAGCCGCCATGGCCCGGCTCAGGGCAGTTTTTTGGGGGCTTTCGGGACTTGGAATAGGGTCTCTGGGGTGTGTTACGGTAGAAGCGGTATGGATAGGTATAGATATAGCAGGCACGGGGATTTGATGAGTGGGTAATTTCCTCTTTTTTGGCGTGTTATGGTGCAGAGATAGGGGGACATATATAGGGAAGATATGGTTTTTATATGATATGGTAAGTAGAATGAGGGTTTGTGAGGTTTTGTTGTGGCATAGACGAGATATGGGGACTACAGTAGATTGTGGGGGGGTTTGTGTAGAGAGTGCACATTTGCTATGTGAGAGTCGTTTATTAGGATCCTAGAACTTTTATAGCGTGGAAATTCAATCGAAATTACTCGAATAAGGAGTCTTGTGTTTGGGGTGCGGGTATGTCTTCCGGTCTCCTACAAACAAAAACTCCCGTTTCTGCTTCCCCAGTGCTTCCCTTTTCATGTGCTGGCTCGAGGGCTTTGGGCTTACCATTCCGGAGTAGTGGAGACGTTGGCCGCAGCGTTCCTTGGGGCCTTCGCCGTTTTGCTTTGGGGCAAAAGGTTTTGAGCTCTGCATGGGGGGCAAACTTCTGAAGCTGCTTCCTGCTGTCTGAGCCAGAACAAAGGTGCAAGCATCGATTTGGAAGGAGCGGTTGACGCCATGATCTTGCTGAGTGGCCGAGCCTTGTTTTCTCCGGGCCAATGCACTGGAGCAAAAAGCAGGAAGCAATTCGCAGCTTCGCCGAAAGTTTGCCTGTCGTTCGGATGCGATTACATTGAGATGCTATCTCCAACGAGCAGTCTAAGACTAAGCTAACATAAGGGGCACAACGGCCACTTGCAAACTCTCCTTGCTGCAACTTAAAACGTCGCGGGGGTGCCCTCGACACACACCGCGGCTCTTGCGTCGAGTGACAGCACGCGCAGCACGACGACTTTCGACGTTCGGAAAATGGTGCGGCCCGAACCGTAGCTACCAGGACACTAAGACAATCTAAGACACACAGCAACCGTTGCGGGACTCTGCAGGCTTAGCCTTGAACTGAAGCACAGAGCGTTCCACAGCGGCGGCCGCTTCAGCAGCCCCATCCTCCTTCTGCATTCTGATGCCGGTCTCCATGCACTTCTCTGTGCAACCTAAGGCCCGCTCAATGGCCACCTGACACTCTGAAACGCTGGGCACCGTGGGCTCGATCATGCTGCCCAAGCCCTTTCGCTCCAGGAACTCGCCGTGCCCGTACTGATCGGCCACCAGCGGGGAGATGACTGGGCCTGCCATCCCGGTCCCCAGCAAAGCCAGCTACGAGCAACAAGACCGAAGCGCCGACCCCTGCTAGATTCTAGATAACTAACCAACAAAGATTTGAAAACAACTTTCTGGCTGTGAGAGCCAGACACATACGACGACGGGCACGCCCGCCCAAAGGGAACGAAAGGTCGTTCCTGCGCCGCCGTGGCAGATCACCACGCTGGCCAAAGGTAGCAGCCAGTCGAAAGGGGCATAGTCCTGGGACTGCGCAAGGACTTAAACTTGAAGGCCGTAAGACAGCTTTTACATTGACTGACGCGAAACCTGGGCGGAGTGTGGGTGCTGTCTGAAGCAATCAACATGGACATACATTGTTCGCTTCAGGTAAATCTATTATGGGTGGCCAAATTAGGGTCCCTTTTTGGGTACCCTAAATATTAGGTCTATTAGGTGCCGGATTATAATAAGGACCCCAAAAGGGACCATAATTTTGACAACCACCCATATAGTTCTCTTAAGACGCCTTCTAAGAATGGAAGTCTGAGTCGAGAGACGACCTCAAAGACGCCAGCTCCTGATTCTTGGCCAGCAGAGGAGACGGTAAAAGTAAACTCGCTGTTGTCCTTCTTCTTCGGCGCTTTCGAGACGAAGTTCACAACGTTCATGCCCATCTTCTGAAGAGCTTGTAGGGTACTCTCCTGCACCTTTTCGATGCCCATCGACATCATGGATCCTCGCTACTGGTCGAGACATCCACTTCAGTCAAATGTGGTCCAAATGCAACGGTGATACTGTCATGATGTCGCTATGTTACCGTGCCTCTGTCGCTGTGAGGCACGGTTGCTCTTCGATAGTACTGCCTTACTCCATTCTCGTCTTGCTACCTCTGCACTACATCCATCATTACTCCATGCCGTCCTTACTCCCGACACCATCTACTCGAGATCTCCCTCTCCCAGTTCTCTGCTACACTGCAGCGCCACCGATGCAACCTCGAGTGGACTCCCACGTCGCCATTACTCCAGTGCTCCATTAAGCATTAGCCATCAGCGCACCAGTTTCTCACCCTTTCAGTCGCCATTCCAGCACTGTCCGATTCTGAAGCACATCTCTTTTCAATAAAGAAATATTGAATCTCTCAAACCTTCCCATCCTCATCACATCTCTAAGATTCTCTAAGCGTCTCGAGTTCTTTCAAGGTTTAATCACCCCTTGGCTTGTAAGTAGTCTGTGGACCTTGATCTGTCTGACAAAAGGGCATGATTGCTGTCCGTAGTGCATTGGCTGCCGAAGTCTTCCACACTGTAGCACATAAACGACTAACTTGCGACCTGCAGGCTTTACATACCGCCTCCAGAATCCTCGAAGTCTACCCCTACTCGGCCATGCCATCCTCCAGGGTCTTTCTACACAGCGACAATCCCTACAGATGTTCCAAATGTTACAAAGCCATTGGGATGCACATCTATTGCGAATGGATAGGCGTATCATTCTCAGCCCAAAATGCGCACCACGCAGGCAAACTACGAGCACGTATCCACTCTAACATAAACTCGCACATGTTCATCCTCCCGTCTTTCCGCTAGTTCTACGTGCTGCCCATCTTACAGTAGAATGGGAAACCTCGTTCTTGCCCCCAGGACCGTGAAAGCAATGATACCCAAGCAACCTGCATTGAAACATGACCGAGCGGAACTTGGGCCACCATCGCCCCCTCGTTTGCAAACCAACCTATCTTTAAACCCTCACTTGGATCCTTACTAGGGCCCTGTATTACGCGTCCTACTATTTTGTATCATTCTGCCTTCAGCCCCCAGCAATGAAGCCGGGATCTTTGCCACAAAACCGTCAAACCGCC